TCTGAGTGTTTCATGTGCTGCAGAACAGGAACCTGCTGTAAAACAGCAATTATGCTGAGTCAGGCTTGATTTTTAGTAATCTTTTCCTGTTAAATCAAATCAAATCAATTAGTTCAGTTAGCACCTTATTGAAGTATTAACAATAATTTGAAATTACTTTGGGGGGGGGGCAGCGGCTTGTATTTACACACTCTCTGCTTTGATGTCAACATTTTTCTCAATGAAACAGTCAAAAGCAAAGTTTAACAAATGACCGTTACACATTTCTCTGCCTGTGTGTGTATGTAAGTATGTGTGATCAGAGGAAAAACCTGATTAAAGACTTTGTACTGAAAGTCAGACCTTTTTCTACATCTTTGCTAAAGGATGATTCTTAAGTTTGATTGGCAGTTACATCTTTCTATTTTATGAAATGTTCAAATTATGTATTTTAAAATGTTTAATCATAAAATGTGTCTGCCCACAAGTACAGAATTTAAAGCAGAATATTTGTGATAAGGTGTAAAGGATATTCCTGAATGGATTATCTACATTGTGCAAGGCATAAAAAGCTGATTTGTAGTATTTGAATAAAGTCACATGATGGAATTGAAAAAGGGATGACATCTTTCTTTTAACATGCCATGCTGTGGCTTGCACCCCCGTTTTTATCATTTTGTCTCTAGCATTTGTTGGCAATAAGTAAACATTTAGATTTGATCTTGAAGTTGGACTGATTGCAGTCAGAAAGTTAAGTACACCATGGAGTAATTTATTAGAGCTATAACTAGACTAGACGAGGATGAAGATGGTATGTTTTGGAGAAACTCTCAAGACCAATGATTTTGTTTTCTTCCACAGGCTTATAAAAAATATTTTTCTTCAGTGCAAGTTGAGAACCAGGAAACAAATACAGAATTAGACTTGAATGTTTAAGTGCAAGAAATAAAGACAAACAATACCAGCAGCAGGAATAAAATACAGACCGTTTATTGAGAGTTTTTAACAAGTATCTTTTAAATGACAACAGGCTGGCCTGAGGGAGTGGGTCCCAAACTTTTTTTGCTGGGCCCGGGTTTTAAGAAAATTTCCATGATCACACACACGTTTGTTCTTCTATCCTCATGTGGTCTTTGCATTGACTTCCATTCATTTACTGGTCATTTCTATACCCTAACCCTGAGCCCTTACCTTAAAGTACTTCACAGGTACACACCTGACCCAAAACCTAAACTAAACTCAATTCACATTAGTCCTAAACTGAAACCCTGACTCACCAACAGTGTTTCGACTGGGATTTGTCCCTTTTGTTCCTCACCAGGCTGTGCCTGCTGGAAATATTGTCCCTGACAGGTAGCAAAAGCATTTAAACAATCTCTAACCAGATACACATTGCAATTTATTTCACAAAAAAATAAAACTTTATTTTGAACAACTGAACTAATAACGGTGAACGTAAATAAATTTCAGCTGCAATTAAATAAACTCTTTTAAATAAAACAACAAACCTATTTTAGTGTCATTATTTTCAGTGTAACAGTTTTTTTTTGTTTGTATGTTTCTTTTTTTTTTACTGTTTGACAATATTCAACATTGCCATCTATAAATCTTTTAAAAAATGCTTCTCTGTGCAAAATGGGTTTCAAAACCTGAACAACTTGGAAAACCAATTGAAGATTTGTTGATTAAAAATGATACCTTGAATCCTCACTTCTTTATGCTTAAAGGGGAACCCAGTCAAAAACTTTTCCATTTTGTCCACTTTCTCATTCATGGCATGTCCCCCACTTTGGGAACCTCTGGACTAAGGAATCATTTAAAAAGCAACACGATCCCACCACAATCATGAGCATGAATACCATTAAGACTGATCTACAGTTTGCTGGATAATCTGATGGATTTTGATAGTCTGACCACGGGTTTCAGTCAAATTTTTTTGTGGAAGACCCTCAATGTTACACTGAAGTTTTATGGTGAAATATGCTAAACAAATGTTTTTATGTTTCCTTTTATGAAGAGCCCTCAGAAGGAGGTGCTCTTAGAACTTTGTATTTACTATTTTATAAACTCTCTTGTCTATTCTGTATCAATTTGTGTTGTTTTGCAGCTTAGTGTATCTAAATTAAAGGAACATAAAATTTTGTCTGAGTATATTTTGTTATTTTATTTTCACCTCATAGTATCCTCAAGATTTAAGACAGAAAATAATAAACAAAAATAATAATAAAAATAAATAAAAGCCCTCATCCTCCAGATCATGAGCCAGTTCCATAACTAAATGTTTTCTTTGAGTCGCAGATGACAAACTCCGGGCCTCAAGGGCTGCTATCCAGCATGTTTTCTTGTTTCTCTGCTCTAACTCATCTGATTTGCATGACTGGATGAATAACAGGCTTCTACAGATTTAAAAGAGGTAATTGAATTCAGTCAGGTGTGTTGGAGCAGATAAACAAGGAAAACATGCAGGAGGCCCTCAAGGACCTGGGTTTGACCCCCCCTGCTTTAAGTGATCTGTTATTGAATGGGATGTCTTTAAAGCCAAGGTRATACCCCATCATTGATACAACTGTCTGCAGGTTTTCAGGGTTAACCAGATTTCTGGTGGTTTTTTTTTTGTTTTTTGACAAAAAGCATCAGTAAGCATTGTGACAGTTTTCTCAGAGTGTACAGTATAAATATTGTTCTGTCCTTCTTCAGGCCTTCTCAGCAGCAAACCCTGGAGTTCTGCTCAATGATACACAAAAACATGATTTGGTGTTCTTCTCTCATATATTGCAGAAATACATTTGAATGAAACAATTACGTGAAAATAAATAAAAACTTTGAAATGTAAAAACAATCTCTAGTTGTGGTTGAATGATACTGAACACAGTAAACACACTCCCTGCTCCCACAGGCAGACAAACTGGAGTTGGATGAGTGAAATTAGCTGTCTCCCATTACTCCTTCAGGGAACCATTTAGTTGCACAAAAACAAGTTCAGGATTTCACTCTGTGATATTAAGTTGCACTTTCTTCCATCCGCTTTGTACTTACACGTTCATATCTTTTAGCTTTAACACCATTTAGAAATTGGCTCTAGTATTGTTTAGTGCMCCATAATAATTTGCTTTACAACTAATATACATTTGTAGCATTCAGTCTAATTGGAGTTATACTAAATGTTACAAAGACTTTTATCATTGTAACAAGGACAGTAGTAACACGTCTGGGGGGAAAAAAGTAAAAAGTATGCTATTTTTGTTGTGTGCACATACTTTGTGTGGCTTTAGTTGTTTGGATTTACATGACCCAGTTTAAACATAGTGGCAGGCCAGGCCAACAAACCTGAGCCAGACAGATTTCACTGTTCCCTGACATGCTGATGTACTTTTGTTGTTATGGTTTCCAATATTCCTGTGCTTCTCAGTCAGCAAGTTGAGCTGGAAACCTTAGACAAAGGTATGCGCAAGTGAACTCTGGCTGCAGGTTATCCTACATCAGCAAGGCTCTCATAAATCAACCGAATTCATGTCTACGCATGGACGTGTCATTTACAGTTGCAGGCTTGTACGMGATTCTTTTTATACATAATGGGTTATTGAAGTGTTTTACGATTATCCAGATAAAAATATTTGTGTCAAAATAATCAGTATCTTTATGCATGATGGGGCAGTAGTAAAAAAACTAATATAAATGAAAGAAAGTAGCACAAGAAAATCATTTTATAGATAAAAAGCAAGTGAAGAAATAGGCTTTACAGCTGCAGCTTTCCCCATCCCCCTCATCATAATAAAAGTACCTAGTTATATTACTGTTAGATATATTCTAACAGCTTTCTGACAGATAAGATTTGACAAGTGAGCACTAAAGATAGAGCTCTAGTTACAGAAAGCATACAACCATTGCATCATGTCTGTGTTGGAACAAACAAGTTATATTCATCTGAGATGTGGACATACAAAGTTATGCTGTCATGTGTTGCAGTTAGATCTTGTGGAGCAGAAAGTTTAACTCTGGGTTGCAGCAGGTCAAAACACTCATTTTACAAAGAAAGTGTTCAGTGGAAGTTACAGGCGGGGATACTGATAGGTATTTTAATGATACACCTTAAATAAAAAGAACCAGAGGCATAGGTATAAGTTTTCAGAATGACTCTTGTGCAAAAGGAGAAGTTGAGAACACTCAGTTGTTCTGACCGAGTCCTCACAAGTTCTGAAGCTTTCAGCTCAGAGTGTCTCTTTTATTTAGCAAGTTATCAAAAACCCTAATCTTGTCTCTGTACAGTATGCAGTCATGGGTCAGAATGTTATAGAGAACATTCTACAATGATTCACTTCGGTGAAGCTTTACATGCACAGATAAGAATAACTTCCTCAGCAATAAGTATGAGAAACAGGAACTTGGATTGATAAGAACATCTGAGTAAGACATAAAGATGTAAGGCTGATAATGTAAAAACTCTTACAGATACATTTGGTTAAATAATCTCATGAGCTGCTCTTCTCACAAAATAAAAGACCCGTTGTTAAATGCCATCTCATCTTTCCTGCAGTGCACTGTCAGAGGTTTAAACATTATCAGGCTTTGTTTAAAGGTCACTTTCAGGCAGCGTCTGAAACAAGAAAGTCTGGAGTATAAACATGGCTGATTTTGGAGAAATATTTCAAAATATTGGGGAGTTTGGACTATTTCAGAAGACCATCATGTTTGCTCTTTGCTTCCCGAACCTTATTTTGTCTTTTCACTTTGCCAGTGTATATTTCGTCCAGTCCGATCCAGAGCGCCACTGTAACACAGACTGGATCATCGGCGCTGCTCCCAATCTGACCACAGAGGAGCAGCTGAACCTGACTCTGCCCCGGGAGGAGGATGGGACCTTCAGCAGGTGTCGGATGTTTGTTCCTGTGGACTGGGACATCGGTTCCATCAGGGAGAACGGTCTCAATGACACCACAGGGTGCAGGAATGGATGGGAGTACGGCAACATGCTGTATGAGGCCACCATTGTTACAGATGTAAGTGATGAAACTATCACATATTCATTAGATAAATCCTTTTTTGTTTGTTTTACAAACAATTTGGGTTATTTTTTTACCACAGTTTGATCTAGTTTGTGACCAGGCGTATCTTTTGGGATTAGCACAAACCGTACTGATGGCTGGAATCCTGATCGGATGTCTCTTGCTTGGACCTTTTGCTGAATCGTAAGTGTTCTTTATGCTGCACTGATTTTTAAAAGCAGAAATCTCAAACTCCTGAATGCTTAATTTTCTGTCTGCTTTTGTGTTCATTAATTAACAAATGACATGCTTTGATGTCTTCTGAATGAGCTGGGAGTTAAATCTGACTAGAAATGTCTGTTTTAGGTTTGGTCGTAAGCGTGCAGTGCAGATACCCATGGTTTTGATGGTCATTTTTACTGCAACAACTGGATTATGTCCCAACATTTATTTATACTTGGTGTCCCTGTTCATTCTGGGCATTGGCTATGGAGGCTATCGACTCAATTGTGTTATTCTAGGTACTCTTTTATTTATTATCTACTTTTTCTATAGATTTAGTAAACATTGTATTTAGTTGTTAAATTACAGAATAAAAAGTAGTTAACATTTTGTACACTTAAAGCAGGGCTATTCAACTAAATTGCGCAGGGGGCCACAGTTAATGAATGCCAATGACACATCCAGTAATTAAATAAATACAGTCTACCTTCATTCTTTCTGATTTAATTTTTATTTTAAAACAAATTAGATTTTAAAAAAAGAATCTGACACTTTTTATTATTTGCACTCTATTTTGTATAATAAATGCAGTCATTGGCAGGCAAACTGAGTTGTATAGCATCTTTAAAACAGGATTGCTGTTCTCACAGAAATATTTGTCTTTCATATAACAAAAAATGATTTTTTAATGAACTCCTGGGTGGGCCAGACTGAAGTCACCTGTGAGCCGAAAGTGGCCCATGGGCCACCAGTTGAATAGCCCCATTAAGTGCTTGAATTGAAAAAACTGAACTTCTTTTTTTGCTTCTTGAGAGTGTTTCACTCTCAAAAACCTTTTTGGAGAAAAAAAAAGAAGTGTCTTCAAAAACAAAACATAACATCTTGTTGCCTTGGTTTTGACTGATGTTCTACTGTACTACATTAGTTCAGTTTAGGTGAACAAATAAATACGTTTTCCTTCTGTGTTTACTGAAAGTGCAATCTGTGTTTTTTTTTTTTTTTTTACCACAATGGAGCCCATAAAATTTGTTATTTAGAACCAATTTTGTTGATGTATTGATGTGACATTCAGCAGATAGAAATCTCTGGTAACAACAGTGTGTGCACCTTGTTGCCTAACTACAACATTTTAAAGTCAACTTTGATTTGTGAATAATTTATGCATGTGGTGTTACAGTATAAGCATGTCTGTCATGTCTTTTATAGGGACTAATGTGAAAGCATGTTGTAGTCCTTAGCAGCATCAGTACTAAAATAGTCTCTTTTAATTTTCCTTCCTGTTTTCAGTCACTGAATGGACCGGAGTGTCCAAAAGATCATGGGGAGCCTGTTTGACTCAGCTGTTTGGGGCTCTTGGACACTGTGTTCTTGCTGTGTTGATCTACTTTATCAGAGACTGGAGGACGGCTCAGATGATCACATGTGGCCCTCTTGCTGTGGTCGCCATTTACATCTGGTTTGGATGAATCCACAGTACCATGTCCTGGTTTTATCAAAGTGAGTGGAAGTGATTGTGATCTTTGAGCTGTTTCAACAGGTTTATTCCAGAGTCAGCCAGGTGGTTGTTGAACAGAGGACGACTAGAAGAGGCTAAACAGCTGATATCTAAAGTGGCAGCCATCAACAAACAAACTCTTCCAGACTCCCTTCTGGAAAAGGTATCCCCCCCTTTTTTTGTCTTCAATGTCAAAACAGGAGTAGAACTAGAAAAATATCTATAAATGCAACAATGTTTTAGAGAAAACACTATGGAAATATTTATTTCGTGATGACTGTACTGTTAACAATAAAATGGGGTCTTAAAGATAGAGATGGGATTTTACCAAAATGCAACAAACAAATGTCATCGCTGCAAAATTGTGAATTACTCGAATAAAACACAAAAGCAGTTGTTAACATAATGTTAACACACATCTGTGCAGATTGTTGTGCAAGAAACTGAAAAAAGGAAAGGCATAGTAGTTCTTATCCAATCAACTGTGCTTAGGAAGTATTTCCTTACCTTAATTTTGGCATGGTAAGTTATACTCCGTCATCCTCTAATTTCTTACATTGGACAAGCTGATGCTGACTGTGCTTTCTTTAGGTTCTCCCTGAATGTTTCTTATTTCTGCCTTTCGCTGAATGTGGGAAACTTTGGCTTAAGTATATTCTTGACGCAGGCCATATTTGGCCTGTCTGAACTACCGGCTCATCTTCTGTGCATGTGGCTTTTAGAAGCAGTGGGAAGAAAACTGTCACTAGTGTCCACACTTCTGATCGGTGGATTCTTGTGCCTCTCAGTTTTAGCAGCTCCTCAAGGTAAAGTTATTCAAACTTTAAAGTCATGGAGTTATGCACAGTGGATTACATATGTTGTTTTGTCTCATTTATTGTAAGAATTTATTAGTTCACCTTTAATGATTGTCAGAAGAAGTCTGAATTGCTGCAAAAAATAAAAATCATTGATGTGGTAGGCACACAATTGTCCCTATTGTTAACATTAGTTTGTTCCTTTCATTTTCTAATCTATCAACACATTAATGACTTAAAACTCTGTATAATAGTTTTAGACCACTGCGAAGTTTTTGTGCTCGTTTTACAGATAATGCCATTGCTGTCACAGCATTAGCTACTGGAGGACGTTTTTTTGTCAACTGGGCAGGATCCATTTGCAATGTTTATGTTCAGGAGCTTTTTCCAACATCTTTTAGGTGAGCTGAGATCCCCCCCCCCCCCCAAAAAAAAAAAAACAAACAAACTGTACTTTCTATTGTTGTCCTATGATTTTAAGTAATTTTAACTACAACTCTGGGTTACACTCATCAACCTAAATTGAAACTCAGTGCAGCAAATCGATATAAGACCAAAGTCCTAATAAAATGAAATTTTATTTTGGGTTAGGTTATGTGTAAGTCAGTACAATGTCCTACTATGGATAGTAATAAAAATGTGTGTGTCTGTCTGTTAGCAGAATATCAAATGAACAACTGAATAGATTTAAGGAAACACTCAGGAATTAATCACAGGGTGTTCATTTACAGCTCCTTGATTTATGGAGTCAGATAAATTCAAGATGACCACCAGAACCAATCAACTTTAGCCTCAGAAAAAAGACAGTCATTTTTACAAATATTGTACTGCAATTTGATAAGTTAGTAACTCAGTCATTCACATAACAAATACTCTGATCATGTGATTACACAGCTGACATTATTTTCAAGGTTTGACCGAAATGGTTATAACTCTGTCATTTCTCAACATAGGATGATCTCGGTGGGCAATATGCATTTATTCAAGTACTAACAGGTCGTTAATTAGTTCAGTTAAAGTAAACATATATTTAGTCTTGTGCCCATAGTAACCTCATTTTAAATTCTGGTTCTAGGCAAACAGCCTCTGGTTTGGGCTCCATTGCGAGCCGAGCTGGGGGGTTGCTTTCCCCTCTCCTCAACATGCTGGCTGTGTATAACTGGACCATACCTGTCGTAGTTTACAGCAGCCTCACTTTAATCAGCGGAGCTCTCAGCTTTCTGCTCCCTGAGACCAGAAGAACTGAGCTGCCAGATTCAACTGCTGAAGCTGAAGGACTCAAGTAAGGAAACATTTTGTGACATCATCTAATAACCATCCCCATCCTTTTTGACCAGTTCATGAGCTTCAGGAATAACTGCAAACTACAAAATATTGTGGCGCTTGGCAAGTGTTGTGTCTGGAGACAAAAATAAATAAATAAATAAATAAATAAATAAACCAATTCAAGCTGTTTTCAATGTTACCAATTAATTTATTCTGCTTGGTATGTTCAAGTTTTACTAAACTAAAACAACAGATTTCCCAATGTCTATTTTTATTTGTACACTTGACCTTTGCTGAGCTTTGTACATTTTAGGGGGGAAAAATGAAGAACTATCTCATGTTTTTTGCCTAATCTGTTATACCTTTGTGTGTGTGTGTGTGTGTGTGTGTGTGTGTGTGTGTGTGTGTGTGTGTGTGTGCTATATTATATATATATTTGATTTAACTAGGTAGATCTCCCTTAAA